GGGAACGATAATTGCTTCGTTCCACACTGATGGTACATTCTCAGTCTCCCATGCTTTCCCGAACAACCCAGTTAGAGCCATTGTTAGAGTCTCGCCACCATCTTTGAAAACAGCTGGGGATAGACTGTCTGGGTGGGGTGCTTTATGGCGTTCTAGTACTCGGAGTACTCTACGGACCTCCACTTCGATTGGTGGGTCGGTACTCACCGACCAAGCAGCATTGGAGCTGGCGAAGGTGGATACTGAAGCTAGTGGCCAACTAAACTGCTTCTCGAAGTGTTCTGCCTAACGTTTCAGGCTGGTAATTGGCATTCTATCTGCCTCACGGACCATCCCGCTAATACATTGTTTCTTGCTGCTGGTGGCACGGATGAGCTGAAACAACTGACTAATGCCAGATGCAACAGCTGGCTTCATCTCACACACATGTCGCGACCACCAGGCTTCGCGTTCCTTACGTAAGCACTGTTTAATATTGAACGTAGGCGCCTTTCGCACATTTTTGTATTCGCTGCCAACCAGTATGAACCGGCATTCATCCAGGAGTTGCAAGGAAATCTCAGAAATCCAGTGGTTATTTAGCGCATCATTCTTCTAAGCCGAAAGCGGCTACACCAGCCATTTGCATGGCGCCTTGCAGAGGAAGGCAATATTCATCTACAATACTTGCTGCTATCAAGCACTAATTGTAACTCATTCTCGTATTTCAAATAAGTAGCGGCTGCTGCAGGTTTGCTAACATCAACATTTAGATGATGCCGTTTATGAACTCCACGAAATCCTAAGACGAACCTGGCGCAATATAATGTATAATCGTAGTCTAGGCATGTGCTCCAGAAGGAGCGACAGCCTTGTATGCATCCTCGCCACCGGGGACTGACCGCAAAATGATCAATCTGAGTACAGGCTTGCTTCGCAGAGGGAGGACGCCAGGTAGCGCTACGGCGATGGCTGTGCCGGAAGTTGGTGCTGGCTAGAATTAGGTTATGCTCCGCGCAAAGCTGGAGAAGACAGACCAGGTAAACACCAATGACCACCTAGAGGATTCTCCCCTGAGCTTAGACTCCCGACTGTCTGGTGGTTGTGCTGCATATTGCAAATTGGTATGAGTTGAAATTTATAGGCCATTGGATACCGTCCTAGTGGCTAAATGGTCCATGAGTTCGCCTTGTATCCAGAAGATCCTGGATTGGGACCTCAGTGGGTGCGTAATGCCGAAGAGCCCAAAGCCGAAACGAAATAGCTATTCACTACTCTCTGATTCGCAAATAGTTCCCTAACTGATTTTACGTAATAATGAAACCCGCAAATAACTAGTCAGAAAAGTCTGTAATAATGGTTGACTAGACATGTCAGAAATGGGTGAATAAACAATCAATATTTAAGAACCACTCAATACAATTTAGTCAACGCATCCAAATCAAACACTCGCTGGACTTAAGGAATCAGGCAGTAGAAACAGATACGGATTTATCCTGTGGAAGAGTATCAGATTCATGAAAATCCATAAAGCATTATACTATTTACTGTGTTACGAACAAAGTTACTCAACACTTTAATTTGATCCACAGATAGTAGGAGGAAATACATGCGAGATATCAAACGTAGGATAAAAAGAGATCATGAACACTTCTATTCGCCTAAGACTGATTTCGATTTCATGTCGTCTATTGCCTTCAAAAGTCTGTCATAATTGCATTATTATTTTTATTATTAAAAAACACAAACTTAGTACACTATGGGCACTAAGTGATGCGGCACATAATCTCATGAGTTTTACGAGGTCTGAGCTACTGCAGCTACTGAAGGAGGTGGTTATCTCAAGGAACCACCCCTTGAGCTTATGACCTGGATTCTGATCCACAAAGCAATCGAACAGCATTCCCATGGTTGACAGTGACCAACAAAGTTTCATACGCCATTAAATCTATTCGAACTGTGGAGCTCATATCCATTATAGGATTCAAGCCGGGGATTTTCAGCTCCTCTATAAAAATCAGCATGTCCAGTTGTATGTGCCGGACGTTCACATCCGTTCTTTTCGCTTTTTTGAGAAATACCCCTATTGCATGAAGACAGTGAATAGGAGTTATCTCAATGAAGCTATAATAACGCTATAGCTACGTGACAGAAACTGGAGAGGAAATACCAGTCTACTCACTCTCAACCGTACCTGAACGTTTACGGCGAGGGGTCATCCTTGCAAAACAACCTCCTCTTCATAGATTACAGTAACAATCAATGGCTTCACAGAATAAGCCGTATCATTTCTTGTTCAGATTACCCCTTTAGCTTTCTTTACAACCAATATTTCTATTACCGTTAGAATGATATAGAAGTGTAGATGCTGAATATAGATTCAAAAGAGATTTCTAAAAAACTAAAAGGAATGAATGTTTAGAACCCCATCAAGTGAGTAATACATCTTGTAAAAGACTCCACAGTGATTACGTTATGAATTCATTAGAGGTAAAAATAGTCGCCAAATACATAAGTAATCAAATATCTGCCAACTTATTTCAACAAGCGCATTTTGGCGCTTTATAAATTGACAGAGAGTATTATGTTCGAACCCTATCAGGCAATTGAATGTTTCATCACCGCCATAAATCATGCGCGTCAGGGTGAAGGAAGAAAGTAGAAACCTGTCTCCTTTAGAAGCCACTTCTGAGTAATTATCTGAGTTATGACAACCCCCCCCCCCCTATTACTCAATAATGGACTACTAAACATTTTCGGTAAATCTAAATACAACTGTACAGCCTCTGAAGATGATTCCATCGATTAAGTGAATTTTCTTCGCTGAATTGTCTTTAGTTTTCTTTATGACTCAATGGGTATTTTCAGTGATAAGATAAAGGTCACTGACTTCACAAACTGGTGTGATTTTTAGTTTGACAAGCACATAACCTTTTTACATCCTACTCCTACTTTGGTTATCAGTACTTGTTGAGATTCACAGCGGTTCATCATACATAGCACAAATTCAAAATATCTCAATCGATGGAGCAGTGTAACAATGTCGAATGGTTCATTTTTATAAACTAGCACTTTACGCTTTACTTCATTATTATTCTCCATAGATCCGGGGCTGACATGAAAGCTAAGTTGTGGTGAAGTGCCTTCAAACTTTCCACATCTTCACCTTTCAGAGACTATGCTCTCGACTTATAAAGTAAGCAAGAACAAGCTACTGTGAAGTGTACACGCCAAGTGATGGTTAACTAAGTTTCATAACTGCAAAAAGGTTACATATATTCGGAAACATTAATATAAGAATAAAACTTGTGCACTGCGGTGGTAGAGTATAATTCCATTATGGGTAAAATTTGTTTTGATAAAGTCTCACAGTGTTGTTATACAGTAATATTTACTGGTGACCACGTTTAGAGCACAATTTATAACTGCTTATAATCATATCAAAGCACTAATCACACAACATTCTAACTTTGTTTATATAATTCCATCATTTTCCGTCGCTTGGTTTGATGATAGGTATTTGTATTTTCCATATTTCGGGTATGAGTGATGAGTCATTTCTATTGCATACACTAGGTGCAGATTCGATGAACACTGATTCAGTAATCAACCTCTCTCTCTCTCTCTCCACCTACCTAGATTACTTTTTATACTGCTAACCCTTTCCCATCCTGTGGTGTGGTTGTGTGTTAATGCTTGCATGGAATGGTGAGCGTCTTTCTAAATTACTTATCTTCTCGGATTCAGCCATCATTACCTTAGCTAAATTCTTATGTTCCGACAATCAGGTTACCCCAACCTGCTAGTTTGACCTATGTGGTTCACCTCACAGTCATTACAGGGTATTTTGTAAATTATATTGTTTTGTCTAATTGGGTCAACCGATAGGGTCCTTTAACCTACAGAGCATGACCCTGCCTGAGTGAATTTGTAAGTCAACATCCAACAAATGCAATAGGAATGACTCATCATTCATACCGGAAATATCGAAAATATTACTACCAATCAAATCAGGAATAGTGGAAACATAAAAGAAGTTGAAAAGTGTGTGAGTAACTTCATATGGTTATGAGAAGTAATGAATTATGCTCAAAACGTGGTCATCAGTAAATATTACTACTGTATAATACTGTGAGACTTTATCAAACCGCATTTCACCCGTAATTGAAGCATGTTTGAAAACACTAAACCAGACGATAGTATGTATGCTGACACCCCTTCATCAGTGAATTCATTTGGAGTGCTTCAGCTGCACAAATAAATAAAATGGTTAAAGCATTTACCGATTTCACTTACTATCCTTAAACTAGGAATCAGTGGAGACTGTTCGCGCAGCGTTATCTTTCACCTGATGGCTTTATGTACAATTTTCTACAGGTATTTTACATAAAAAAGTCCGACATAAGTTAGAAATTCAGGGTAACTGGATTCCAACCAAGTGACTGAATGGTCAACAGGGTTATGTCAAAACTCGGAGGTAGTGATATGTTCGACTCCTAATTGATTCCTGGATGCACAATCCTGTACTGTCCTAAATTAGGATGAAACAGCAATCCAGTTATTACGATTACTATAACCGTTGGTGGTAGAGAGGTTAGGACTCTCGCCGGCCATGCACATGGTCCGGGTTCCGATCTCCTGCCGACGCACACCTGATATCAATGGTCGGCCTGAAAATTCTGGGCTACCACTAACATATTGCTACAAATTCCATACTTGTACCAAAAATACTGTGTGGAATCAAGCTATAATCAAATATTAAATTAAAAATTAATGACCACTTCCATGGGCTCCATAGTGGAACCTAGGGTTTCACTTCAGCAACACATTAAAATTTCACACTATTCTCTGCAATCCTCTCTTTAGTTAACTCCACAAATGACCATAAACCCCTCATTTCCTCCTTGACGTGTCTCTGTCGGACGCCTGAATTATGGCCTGCTATTCGGATTCCTACTCCAGTGACTCACTCAATAGTCTCCTCACTGTTGAAGACAGAAAGTATGAAAAACAATGTAAAGTTAAAAACATACACATATATTACGTGTGTCTAAGAGATGATAACAAAAATGCAAATATACAGTACACACATTTATATACTTATAAGCGATCTGTTCTACATCTGTTTTATCTTTTCACGACATATTCCTAAAAATGCCTTAAAAATATGAAAAAGCATGTAGAAGATAATTAAACACAATACATAGGACATTGGGGAATGAATTCCTACACAAACGTAAGCAAATATATACAATAAAAATAAACGTGTTAAAATATAATAATTAGCTAGACAGCGTAAAGATATCCGGGGATTGATATGAGTATTACATTTTGAATAGGATTGTCTATTGGTTTGATTTATTGTCGTTGAAGTTGTTGTGGGAAGTAATATCTGTCGAGATAATCTCCCTTGAATGCCTGGTAATGAACACCAGTGGATGAAACGTCTTCTCATCTAACAGAAATATGTATAAGACAGAAGATGAGGAAAAATTAGGGTGAGTGTTAATAGACAGGAGACTAGTAGTTCAGAGAAGAGTATCTTTTCGCCGGAGAATTCATTTTCATAGCTGTACAATCACAAATACATATATGATTCTTTTGTATATATGTGTGCGTACATTAAATATGCCAAATGAAAATACACTTAGTAAGTTCAGATGAATTGGATGTTGATATAAGAGGGTTGTAAGAAAAGTGATGAGCTGTCACAAACGATTGTTAAGGAAGAGTTACGTAATAACATGAATACTTTGATAAAAGAGTTGTGCTCAGGGTGTACATGAAAATAAAATAACATGCAGAATTACACAAGGGTTTTAAATACTTAGAAAAATAAACATACAAGCAAAAGTTAAGTCAAATCAAGCAAACATTAAATAAAATCGACAGAGTTGTGACCATGATAGTAGAAGTGACTGAATAATTACTACTAATTCAACTATCATGGTCACAACTCTGTCGATTTTACTTAACTTTTGCTTGTATGTTTATTTTTCTAAGTATTTAAAACCCTTGTGTAATTTCGTATGTTATTTTATTTCCATGTACACCGTGAGCAAAACTCTTTCATCAGACTATTCATGTTAATACGTAACTCTTCTTTAACAATCGTTTGTGAGAGCTCATCACTTTTTTTTACTACCCTCTTATATCAACATCCAATTCATCTGAATTTTTTTTCCTTCACATTCCCCAGTGGAACATAGGGCCCCAAGCTACAGACTTGAAGTTTCTGTAGCAGTGTTTATTTTACAGGATGGGGTTGCTAGCCTCATGCCCAACCTTTCCTCTTTACCAGCATTATTTCTGGTTTAGCGAGGTAAAGAAGTGCCTCGTCGGCCCGGGATCGAACTCCGGACCATGTGCATGGTCGGTGAGCGACCTAACCGCTATGCCACCGACGCACAATTCATCTGAACTTACTAATTGCATTTTCATTTGGCATATTTAATGTACAAACACACACACATACAAAACAACCATATATATTTACGATTGTACAGCTATGAAAATGAATCCGCCGGCGAAAAGATACTCTCCTCTGAACTAAAGGTCTTCTGTCTGATAATGTTCGAATGGGGATTTTTCATGAATGAAAACCAATAAACATATATATATATAATTGTGCTCTACAAGCTCGCCTTGTAACCAGAAGTTCCGTGGTTCGAACCCCAGTGGGTGAGTACTATTGAAGAGTCCCAATCTGGGAAGAGACAGATATCCAGTACTCCCCGGTTTTCCAGTGCTTCTCTAACTGATGTCAGCTCACGATGAAATCCTCCAACCAAAATATAAAGATGGTTGAAAACAATCGACTGGAAACCTTGGGAACCTGGGTGTTGTACTTGCTGGCACACGTCATCAAGGTGCATGTCTTCAATCCTGATAGAACTCCTGTCCCTCTCTTGACATTCAAGCTTCCCATGTCACCCAGTAGTGGTGCAATGAGAGACGTCCCTAATACTGAGCTATTCAAGCTCACAATTGACCCCTCCAGTAGGACTGTTAAACAGATACTTTGATTGAACAATAGATACTACTACTACTACTGTAGTGAGAGCTGGCTGTTATTCAAAATTGGTGGACAGTAATTTACGTCAGTGTTTGTGTCCTCAATACTGGTCGTGAGAAAAATGAGAACAAAGACTTTGTGTAGGGGGATACAGTTAACATATAGATGATCTGACATTCAAGAAACAGTCACAAAGAGATGCAAGGTTAACTTTCTATGAGAAACAACCAATTAGAGGACTGTGTTTTTCTGCTAACAATAATCTATAATAGTGTACATGGAAATCTATAAAAATGTGTTGATTTCCTTAATGTGAACGATCTGTTGCCTGGCCCCTGTCTTCTGTTGTTACACTACTACTACTATTACTACTACAAGGCGAATACTTAGTGAGTAAAGTGAAACATAAGATGCGTTGACAACTATAATCTATAGTCTAGTCATCTCACAATAAGTATACATGAGAAATACATACACATCCTTACCATTTTATTGAGCTTATCTTCCAAATAATTGCATACCCTAAGAATGTAACGACTTTCATATGAAGTACACGATAATGATGCATACTCTCTCGTTGTACTTTTCCGACAAATATTAGGACGTTTCAAACCCATTATGATCTAAATATAGAAAGAGGTTTTTTTAAAAAACAATATCAACAACACAGTATCAAAAAGTAAATAAGCATATTATTATTATTACTATTATTATCATTATTATTATGGATAATACTGTGACAGAGCTGTATTCTAGACAAAATGTTTATCACATATTGTACAGAATTACCAGTGTCTTTTGTTTTATTGCATGATGTTTACCCTTCACGTTCAGGATGTTTAAGTGAAGTAACAATCAACAGTCTATTGCACGACGCGATGCTAGTCAACCTGAAGCACAAATGATTCCCTTAGTTTTCATCAAGAAATGGACATCAGTTGGACGCGAACCAGTTGAAAATATGCAGGTGTACATTTTGCCACCCAAGGACATTAGTGAATGATAGAAAACAACTTAAAACCTGGAAGCATCATGATGAATGGAAATTCAGGGAACCCAGTTGGATTTCAGTAGAGGTTGGAATGGCCGAGTGGTTTAAGGCAACAAACTTTAGTGTAAACATTCTAGTCCACAATGTGGGTGTGGGTTCGAACGCCACCTCCACAACATGCTTTGCCTCATAATCGACATGGTACAGTCAAGATTGGATAGATTTAGTCTTTCTCTTGAAATGTTCTCCTCATATGACCACACTTTCTTTTCCTTTATCATCACACAGAGACAGAAAAGAAAGTTCGATGTTTTCGGATCAATCTAGTCTTGAAATAATAGAGATTTGTAACTCAGGTAGATTTTAATTTTTTAATTTTCAATTCTCTGAGCTGGTTGATTTAATTGCGACGCTTTCATTTTAATACTAGAAACCTGCGCTGAAGATGTCACGAAGGACGATGAGAGCTACCTAATTAAATCAACTACAGCTCAGAGAACACAATTACATCTAAATCAATTGGATCTGACTAACAATCAGTACTGATTGATGTGACTGATTCTCAACTACTGTGTAGTGTTTACCGACACACCTCTTTCTCTTATATAGGCAGAATCGTTTCAGCTACAGATGGCATGAATGAAAGTATCGAACTCAGGGTCAGAAAATAAAAAATAGACCTTCATTATTCAGAAATCAAAGTATAAATCTGCTGCCATCAGCATATGGAATACGACTTTAATTTTCAACAATAATGCCAAGTCAGTTCTTCTATATGGTCCCAACAGGTTACTGCAAGTTTTCATTGACAGCTGTCTTTGATCAGTGCTGGAAATCTGATGATGCATCAGAAAGGATTATCAACAAGCAACTCTAGGGACGAAGCAATCAAGAACTTATTGCTCTCAACAACAAAAAAATCCGAAGAAAAAGAAGATGGATTGGATACACACTAAGGAAACTGTTGAGTGACATAATGTGTCAGAACGTCAAGTGGAGCTCAGATGGGAGATAACAAGTTGGGCATTGGTTCACAGGATGACATAAAGAAGATCATATGAAAAGAAAATGAAGGCTTGCGGGGCAATCGAAGAACCAATTAAGGACTGTTGAGGCCTTATGCTTCACTCAGAACTCGAACGAATAATAATAATAACAATATCATCAAGGTGTCTTTATGACTTTGAAAGGACCCATGTCCCCTATGGGACTCGAACTTGCCAAACCTAGAATACTTCAGTCGGAGTAAGATATCAACTAGATTACTCAGGTTCACGATTGACCTCCTCCTTTAGGATTCAAATGGATACACTGATTGATCACCAATGAAATGTGATATGTCCAGTCCTTGGGGTATAGGTGCAGACTGAATTCTATCAACTCTTAAGGAGCGGAATGAGTCCCTTCAAAGGTTGCAGATGCACTTTACTGACGAGTGACAAGAAGCATGAAACCGAGTTTCAGCCCTTTTTGCTGATAGTTTGCAAACATCTAAGATCCATTCAAAGTACACTGAGATGGTGAGTCATCTAAATTGCTAACTGAATCGCAAACTTTACTGGTAACAGAACTCAGTCTCCACCCACCAAGTCCAAGGAATATAAACGTATGGCACCGGTTACCTCCGAGTGATCAATCAATGTACGATTGATATTGGACAAACTTACTTGGAAACGATCAAGTGGTGTTAGATAGTCATCACTTTCCAAGGAGTTGAAATTATTTAAAGTATCTTGAGTAATTACTGAAGACGATGAACTCGTATTTTCCGATGGCTGATTATGCTGATTATATTCAAATGAAGGTGAAGTGGTAGCACGTGAAGAATATCTTCCCGTATAATATTGTGATGGAGATGTTGGTGATTTTAAATGTGGTCGCAAAATTATTGGACTAGGAGCAAGATCATCCCATTGTATCCGACCAGTTGGTAATGGTTTTGGCGAAAAACTATTTGTCCCTTCAGAAGTCTAAAGGTAAAAAAAGCAACAACAAAGAATTAAAGAAATACACAACCTTTGTGTGAACATGATGTGTTAGCAGTGAATACCAATAATGCAAAGCTGTAGTAGCCGATCAGTCGAAGCACTCAACACCCAACTTAATAGGCAACAGGATGGAACCTCACGCTACCCCATAGCGGACAGCCAGGAAGTATTGTCCAGCATATACATAATAGATATGGTTCACTGTTAGGTGACACCGGTTGCTGAGTGACATTTTATTTCATGGAGGTTTAGTTCTGAATCGTTCAACAGTGGGATTACTAAAGTTACTTATTCACCCTCAGTTTAGATTTTCCTGTAGTGTCTCACTGTGGCAAACCTGTGACATATGGGATTTACGTTTGAACTGATTTATATTCATTCACTTTACAGGTGAATTCACTAGTTTCTGAGTGTACACACTGTTTATAGTACCAAAACTAGGATGTAACAATTATCCAGTATTCTTGGCATTTTAAAGCCAATCTAAATGACATAAATCATTTATAAACGCATTAGTATGGCCAGTGGTGGGTAGACTTCGTCTCTCTTCTCTAAGTACTCTCATAGTCCCTACCAGTTAAGGTTAAGTCCTAATTATTACCTTCACGCGGCAAGGGTGCTCCTCATAAAAGTGCAAGACCGAATTAGAAAGTCTAGCGCTTGTAAAAGGGATGGTAGACTCATTTCTATCTAGGGGAGATGGAGAACTCTCATTCCAAACCTATGGTGTACATGGGAACGAGAATGGAATATGAACCTATGTTGGTCACCGACAACCACCGGAAAGTAACTCCTAACGCTGTCTAATGGCCTTCTGGATCAAACTTTATATCAAAGGCTCAGGGGCAGTGGTCTTTTAATAAAACCACCCGCCTCAATGTGGGCACCTGGGGAATATCCCAGCCCTCACGCATAAACAATGAGACAACGATTCATAACAGAAAATAAACTGTGTACCTATGATATTCAAGTTACGAAGATAGTTCATTGACCATTCCAGTTAGAATTCAGTATTGTAACTTCTACCGTCGATGAGCTGATCCTGAAATGGTGGACCCCACTAGTGACTGCGATAACTCATTAGAACTTCCGTATATCCATACAGTAGATACTAGCGAGCTGGAGACTAATATTCAGATTACGGGGATTTAGATTAATTTTAATGTAGACTTTTTATTATTATCTCCTTTAGTACCTAAAGGAACATAAGGCTTCAGCCGCACGTCTCCACTGAGTTCGTTTCTCCGTCAACTTCTTCACTTGACTCCATGTCTGCTCACATGCCTACATCTCCTCTACGCATGACCTCCTCCTCCTCCATGTCACCCTCACACTGACGACTGTCAGAGCATAAGAATTTAGCTAAGGTAAGAATGGTTGACCCCGAGAAGATAAGTAATTTAGAAAAAGCTCAGCAATTGCAATGCATGCGCTAACACACAACCACACAATAGGGTGGGAGAGGGTTAAAATTCTAAAAAGTAATCTAGGTAGGTGGAGAGAGAGGTTGATTACTGAATCCTTGTTCATCGAGTCTACACCCAACACATGCAATAGGAATGACTCATCACTCATACCTGAAATATGGAAAATACTATTACCAATCAAATCAAGTGAAAATCAAGAGAAAAACAATGGAACTATATAAATGAATTTAGGAAGTCGTGTGATTACCTTGATATGATTATGAGCAATAAATTGTGCTCGAAACGTGGTTATCAGTAAATATTACTGTATAACAACACTGTGAGACTTTATCAAAACAAAATTTACCCATAATGGAATTACACTCTATCACAGTGCACAAGTTTTATTCTTATATCAGATTGAAGTGGGTGGAGCGGGACTCAAACCCGAGATCCGCCAACACACAGATGATTGTGTAAGCCAATGAAGTCACATCACGACAATTAGTAGTGATTATGATGACTGAAACATCTACCCAATCAAATCCTTAAAAAATAACCCTTAAGAAGTTGACTAATGCTCGCTAGTGACTGGCGACAGAACGAAGTTGGCCAGGCCGTTCCAATGAGAATTTGTGACCATTGGGGTCTACCAAGTCAGTTGTGAAGACCACTATTCGCCGGGAATACTGGCTAGCAGTGGCGCTGAAATCGCGACATGAGAGAAGTTAGGACTCATGAGCAATTGGATTTCAGCCCTAGTGGCTGAAATATCAACGAGTATGACCTCGTAATCTGAGGGTCCTGACATCAATCCTCAATGGGATAGTGGGTGCGTACTGTTGAGAAGTAGTCACAAACTGAAACAAAACACACCTGTACAGTACTCACTGGGTTTCCAAATGATATCAATTTAAGGTCAAACTGAAAACAAATCAAATCCCTACAAAGTAACTCTTGAGTAATAATAATAATTTTCTATAGTTTGGTTTGTAAGGGTTTGTTTTGTTTTTTACGAGTTCATGACGGATTGATGTCCGTCAGAGAACCATTGAAAACCAGGGAGTGTTGGACAGCTGCTGTTTCATCTTAGTTTGTGAATCATCAGCAGTACGCACCCACTTCCAGGGTTCTAACTCAGGACCTTCCGGTTACAAGGCTTGCTACAGGATGGAGTTTCCTGGAGTTGCAATGGGAAGTCCATCCAGATGTCACGTGTGAGGATGGATGTCCCACCGACGACATTGGTTGGGATCACGCTAAATCACGAATTGGTAAAAGTTAGAATTCATGGGCTGGCCACTGAATCGGGTCCCAGTGTCTGAATGGTATACGAGCTTGTCTTGTAACCGGAATGTCCTGCGTTAGAACCCTGGCAATGGGTGCGTACTGATGATGATTCACAAGCTAGGATGAAACAGCAGCTGTCCAGAACTCCTTGGTTGTCAATGTTTCTCTAACTGATATCAATTCGTGATCAACTCGTAAAATAATAATAGTAATAACAACTCAAAAAAAAGAATCAGATATACCATACCTTAAATTAACCGCTGTCAATTACTTACCTCTGAAATTTCAAAAAATGCACTCAACGCATGTATGCCTTCAGTTAGATAAGATATACACTTATTGATATTATCATCAGTACTATATGTATCCATAATAAGTAAACTGTATAGCCATTCCGTAAATTGATTGAAGAAGCCATTTGAATTAGATGGAGATTTATGCATTTTCTGCATTATTTCCGATTGTAAACTAGTGGCGTAAGAAAACAATATTAAAGTTATATGTATAGTGAGAGCTGTCTGCTAGCCAAAATTGCTAGACAGCAATTTACGTCAATGTTTACGTCCCAAATCTTGGTCATGAGAAAACAAAAACAAGATCAAAGACTAACTCAACAACCAATAATAACAGTAGACTTTCCGTGGGCGGATACAATTAGCAGATATATGGTTTGACCTTAAAAAACAGCCACTTCCAGTGAGAAGACAACCAATCAGAGGACCCTGTTTCTTCGCTAATAATAACGAATAATAATGTCCATAAAAATATATGAACATTTCTTGATTTCTTCAATAAACGATGTGTTGCCTGGCCCTTGTCTTCTGTCGTTAAATATATGACGCAATCAAAACAGTTATTATTCCATTAGGTTCCCAGTGGAGCACAGGACTTCAACTGTACATCTCCGTTTCAACCTATTCTCTGCAGTCCACTTTAACTGGCTCCAAAATCACCCATAGGCACCCAATCTCTTCCTCACACCATCCTCTTTCGTGTCACCCTCGGACGTATGCTTGGGTCCTACTAGAGAGTCTGATACACGACGTCACTAAAACGGTCTCCTCTCGGTAGTACGTCCAATCTATCGCCGTCATCTTCAGTATAATTTGTTGGCCAGTAAATTGCCGAAATGTGCTTACTGGTAATTTTATTTTTTAATATGATCTATCGGTTTAAGCATTTTACTTTTAACTGAGAAATTCACAGGTAAGAATCTCATCCCACCTTGTGTGACACACACACACACACCTGGACAGTATTGTAAGCCCTGTAAAAGTGAGTTTGATTCACAGAGTTTTACTCCCTTTCAAAGATATTTGTTCTTCACATATGTAGGCAAGGGTGTGGATAACATTTTTGATACAGAGAAAAAAAACAAGCCTAGAAACAATGATCTTACTTTGCTCGTGTAGTTTCCATAGCATTTAAAAGCCTTTCAACTGATTTAATCAATACAGGATTCCATAAACCAGTTTGTTCACCTGATAGCATTCCATTGAGCATTATCTCACTGAGTTGGGAATCATCTAGTTGTTGGAGTTGATTTTCGGATAACATTTCTATGAGGAAAGAAAAATTAAAAATATCACTAAAATCTTATGCAAAAATGAAGTGAGCAGCATTCAATGTAATATTTTAAAAGAATCTATATCAGTCAGAGAGATCATAAAAAACCAAGGAGCACTAGATAGACTTTTCGTCCTAGTCTGCGGCTCTTCAATAGTGCGCACCCACTAAATTGTCAGGGGTCAAACTAAGGACCTCTGAGTTGACAGGCCAAGCTCGATGAGCATTTAGCAACTTGGGCCGGAATTCAACGACCCGTGAATTCTAACTTTGTCAACCCGTCATAAAATCGGAACCAGTGTGGTTCAGCGTATCGAGGTGAAGTGGATCGTCGTCCAAGACAATGGTGAGGGTAGCGCTAAATCACGGTTTGACAAAGTTAAAATTTACGGATCATTGAAGTGTTCTCCTAGTCGCCGAATTCGATCTCTGGCAGTGTTGAGAGTGCACACCACTGAAGAGTCACAGACTAGGACGAAACAGCCATCCGGTGTTTTTTGGCTTTTGATGATCTCTCCAACTAATTTCGATCCGTGGTGAAATCTTACGACTATAACAGAATAATTGATTTGAAAATTCTTCCGTGGAAATTTATTTATAAATTTGATATTTAATTGCATATTGTAAATAATATTGTCATTATTATTCTTTTCCCGTGGCCTGCATATCATAGTTCCACCGTTCGCATATTCTCTTCCGACTTCATTCCTATTATTTTAATTGATTCTTGGTTTCAATGTTACACCTGGCTGCTGTGTGACAGTGAACTGTTGATAATAATGTTTTGTTTTACAACTGTGATATTGCTTGAGTGAAGGCAAAGTTACACCGTTTAGTGGCTGCTTGATCTCAGATTATCTTCAAATAATCCCGTTTGCTCTGCTTGACTTTGGCAGAATTTTCATTGCGCTTTATTAGGAAATATCCCCATTGATTCCCAGGTAACTTGCCATTATTGGTTACAGGATTTCATCATGCCCTGATATCGGTTAGAGAACCACTGGAAAACCAGCTGGGAGTGCTGGACAACTAGCTGATTCTCCCTATTTCGGGACTTTTCACAGTACGTACACTCCGTGCTTCAGATCCAGGACGTTACCGTTACAAGGTAAGCTCATAGACCATTAAGCCACTGGGATCCGATTCAATGGCCTATGAATTCCAACTTCAGCCAATTCACAATAGACCTCGACCAATAGCTAGTATTTGTCCCCACACTCGACCTGATGTATCCCACTGTTCACGACTTCTCACTAGAACCCAGGTAACTACCTACCTGAATAGGTCAGAAGGTCCTGGGGTTAAAATCTAGGTGTGCCCCCGTTGAAGAGTCCCAAACAAGGACGAAACAGATGTCCGGTGCTCCCAGGTTTTTCAATATTTTTCTAACCGATATCAGCTCATGTTGAAATCCTGTAACTAATCAAACCCCTGCAAACTAACACTTGAACTTGTCATTATATTTGGTCCAATAATTTTATTGTACTGAACGTTTTTTGGACCTGAGAAACTTTTGGACTAAATGGTGCCCAATGAGACTGTAGAGGCAGATTACTATTTTTTTTGCATAACTTATTGCTGTTTAGTAGTGTCACAAATTCCGCCAAGCCAACACTAATTTCGATACTGTTGGAATGTAATTTTGGACTATGTGTTAGAAATCGCAGAAGTCTGACAAACTAGACAGAAGAACGCATCGATTGGTTTGTTGCTTTCAGAACAGAACACCTGTAAATCTGTTAATATCAAAGTATACAAATATACACTACTACCACATTTTAGAGTAGTCTGTCTGTCTATCTGTCTGTTTTCGACATAGAACTTTGCACAAATGTGCGCCAGTTCAAGTCGCCACATTCCGTGTAGCACGCAAAGCTAGAGAAGAAAGTACAAGAAAAGCATAATAGAAACAGTGAGCAGAGGTGTGAGACAAAGGAGTAATAAAGAAATACAAAACAGTTTCATTGAAGATCATAAGTCACAGGGAGTGGATGCATCTGCGCCACTGAGAACGATTTTGAGCCATGTCACCAATTGTTTCCAACCATAGATTTTTACCGTCCCGAGGACCCCAGCCTGGAAGCATGACACCAGTTAGCAATATTGGTTGTATACATCCATACGGATTAAACAGCTTCTAGTTGACTGCTACGTTAGTTAACAGATAAAGCGACTGAAATTATGAAATGTCAGCACTCTTGTAGCCGTGGTAATAAAAGTCACACCTGATATTCGTACGCAAATAATACTTTATGATTTGCAAAGACGTACATATATGTATTACATTTCACCTGACAATCACTTGTAATCCCATAGATTTGGTTAGGTGTCACTACACCAATTGTGTGGTGAGTAGTGACACTGAAACTTAGATAAGTGAATCAGGTTTTGAGTCTGTAAAATATAGGTTAGAAGTCAGGCGCCTAGAAATCTAATTCAGTGATCTCAACTCACTGAACAAATCTTAATCTCATAAACTATAACCACTTTTGTTTTTTGATTTGCTATGTGAACCTACAAACTAACACTGTTCTGTGAATCAATTTTTCTGTTTTCTGTCTTACCCCTCACCCCTCTCTTTTCAACTTTAAAAGCGTATAAATTGATGATGAAAACTTAAACTAAATATATGGTAATTCTTTCATTTTGAATGCGTCAATTTTATATAATTTCTCTTCTTTATTACCACTCAAACATTAAAGTATGTTATTATCATCAAAATAAGCATTGTAATTTCAGGTAGGGATGTGCAGCTGATGAGAAACTGTCAAATAGAATGATGGTATCATTTGTTATCGCAAATTTCGTCTTTCTTTCTTTATTGAAATTTATCAAGGGAACCAAATGTATGAAATAAAATAAAAGTCAGAAGTATAATAAAACTAACTTTCAGCATCCCTTATTAAACTTTTAAATCCATCTTGAGAAAAAACTTTTGTCACACGATAAATCATATGAGCATTACGGCATACTCTTAGGTCAGTACGAACAGCTCTTTGTAGGAATAATAAGAATACAGCAACATACAGACTGTAATGACGAGCAACAAATGCTAACCTACAAGTCAAAAAAATAAAACGTAATTCATATACGCGTGCTATTATTGCAAATAAATAAGTATTAACTATAATAATACAAAGCTGCCTAGTATCTCACCGATGACCTGCATCATACGGCAGACTGTGGGGGCGGGGGGCGAAAAGAGAGCAAGATAGAAGATCTAGACTTCGCAGACAACTTATGTCTAATGCCACATAAACTCTTGAAGATCTACATGCGAGATCCGACAGGTTGACACAAGAATCTGAGACAAATAGAATTTCAGGTGAACAAACAGAAGACAAGGGGGATGAAGACAACAGCAGACACAAATCATTATCAACGGGAGGAATTTCGATGAGGTCACTTCAATTACTTATCTAGGTAACATCGGTTCAATTACTGGTAGTACAGATTAGGATGTCGAAACCCGTTAGGATCGGAAAGATAAGAAATCTGCCGCACTCAGCACCAACAACAAGATTCAGATTTTCAACATCAATGTTAAGTCAGTCCTTCTATATGGTGCATAGGCTCGAAGTATCACCAAAACCACTTCAAAGACTCCTCAAACTTTTACCAACAGTTGTCTTTTATCCATACTGCAAAACAGAAAGGTATAACAATAAGAAGTTCTCGGAACAAACCATCTAAAAACCTAAAACTGAACCGACAAAATATGTCGAAGGACATGGAGATGGATCGGACAGACACTGAGACGCATGAGTGATGTCATGCGGCGAACCCTTCAGTGGAAGCTGAATTATTATTCCCTTTAATTCCTAGAGGAACATAGGGCTTCAGCCGCCCAAGTCTCCACTGAGTTCGGTTCTCTGCCAACGTTTTCACCTGGCTCCAAGTCTGCCCACATGTTTTCATCTCCTCTTCACATGACCACCTCCAAGTCACTCTTGGACGACCAACTCGCCGCTTCCCTTTCGGGTTCCACTCGAGCAATGGCTTGTCTAGTGATGTCACTTGATGGTTTGTTTCCTCAGAGTATGGCCAATCCACCTACCTCAATTTCTTTCTGCCTATTTGTTTCACAATCGGTTCCTGGTTGGTTCGCCCATTGCCAGATATCCCTGTTGCTGACCTTTTCTGGCCATCTGATCTTGATTATTGAGCGAAGAAAACTGTTAATGAAGGTCTGTAGTTTGTTTGAGGTGCTCTTTATGACGCGCCAAGTCCCTGATCCATCCGTATAGTAGCACTGACTTCACATTAGAGTTGAAAATCCGGATCTTATTTTTGATGCTGAGTGCTGTTGACATCCACACAGACTTTAGAGTAATGAATGCTCGTCTAGCTTTCCGGATCCTCGCCGCTTTGATATCCTCGTCAGTTCCGTCTGTAGTTGAAACAATGCTTCCCAGGTAGGTGAAGGAGGTTGTTTCTTTCAGATTCATCCCATTTATGCTGATTGTTTTCTGTTGTTGTTGCTGTTGCTGTTGGCCAGGAATCTTCATCACCTGTTTCCTCTATGTTCACATGAAGTCCTATCTTCTTTGGATGCTTCTTCTGTCAACTTGTTGCTTTTCACTTGCATATCTTCCAGTTTGTGGGGAATAAGACATATATCATCGAAGAAGTCCAGATCCTTCAAGTTTTTTGTGTGGGTCCAGGAAGCTGAATAGAAGAGATTATATGAGCAAGAGATGAGAGTTTATAACCAGTCATGGAGCCAGCTCAAGAGGACTGAAGAAAACACAATGAAGATGGAGATGTGTTGCTGGAGCCCTATTTTCTACTCAGGACCTAAGGGAATAATAATAATACACTACAATATAAAGACAGAAATGGTTCCCTCTTTGTCTTTTCAAGTGAAATCAAGCTTAACCAATATCCCGAAGGACAAAGTCGAGTGAGTATATACAAGTTATCGTCAAGACGACGATGTTTCCGCCTTCTTAATACGACAGAGCACAGGCGACTACAATTACAATTTGAATTTCCTCGGTTAGTTGGACTTCTGTGATTTTGTACTACATATTTAAAGGAATACTGTATTCAAATCAAATGCTTTGTTTTTCTGTTATAAAGGTGTTCTCTATCGATTGAACACACATCTGGAATATATGTTGTGGCGTTTTAATGACATAGTATGCACGGAAACACCTTGCGATTACTTTCATTCTCAACAAAGTCTGAATCTAAATATGGTTGGTATGGAGAAACATCTAGTGTGTTTTGTGTGTGGGGGGGGGAGGAGTGGCTAGTGATACTATCTGACCGATTTGGAACCGGCGACCCAGTGATTAGAAGTTGTCAAGTGCATAGAACAATGAGCAACAGTTCCAAGCACCAATCGAAAACTGGATGATTAAGAGTAATACCTACAGAAATCTCAAGAAAATAATGCTAACTATACATACACACTGGCTACCTACCTACCCACTACATGTTTCAGTAGTGTTCAGGATGCTGGGATTAGTTTTTTTAACATCTTCGACAAATGCTGACGACAAACAAAAAGAAAAGACTTCATCAACTGATTTAAACATAGCGACTTCATGACACTTATACCTTAAAAGTGATGGTTAGTGGTCTACAATTTGAAAATTTCAAAAACTGTTAGTTGAAAATTAATTATTTAATTTACAGTAATCTTCACCAGAAATTTCAGGAAGTCATGACATTTTTTAACACATCAATTGGAATTCGATGAATGAAAAGTACCTGGTGCGTCGGTGGCACAGCGGTTAGGACGCTCACCGACCATGCACGTGGTCCGGCGTTCGATCCCCGGCCACCTTTACTTCGCTACGCCACAAATAATACTGGTAAAGAGGAAAGGTTGGGCATGAGGTTAGCAACCCCATCCTGTAAAATAAACACTGCTACAGAAACTTCAAGGCTGTAGCTTGAAGCCTTATGTTCCACTGGGAACGTGAGGGGAAGAAAAAGAAAGAAAAATTCCTATTGTATATGTTAAGGGTGCATTCCGAGTTAAATGTTGAGCTTCGGGGCTTAAGGCCGTGAAGTTTTACAATGAGGTTATTACTTGCTCATGCCCAATCTTCCTTCATTCTCAGGCTCACTATCAAAGCTGGCAAACTAAGTGAGTTTAGAAATGCGTCAGTAGAGAATCGAACCCCGATCTCCCAAGCTAACGAAAGTGATACATTCTCCATATCAATGGTACATATGGCGTATATATAGGACAAACTCTAACATAGCCAACAAAGTCAGGATCTAAACAACGAAAGCATCATTCACGTTTTGTACACAAAAGGTAGAAAGGCAACAAAATGAAGCAGAGGCAGGAACAGTCGGAATGCGTGTGTTTCTTTTCTGCACTCCAGGACTTCATATAACAGGATGTGCATTAAAGACTATTTGAGAGACAGAGTACATTACTATTATATCATGCAACTTTCCAGTTACTTTTGATAGGATCTTTTATGTATGACGAAAATTACTGTTGAATAAACTATGTGCTTAATTTTTGAATCCAAAACAGGCTAACTAACACAAGAGACATAACAGAGTTGCATACTATTTCAGGTTACCATGACTATTCATATCATCAATGTGACGAGGAAACACTGACAAGACCTCCACAGACAGGTGCACTGAAGGAGACCAGTGATGTTGCATTACTAAAAAAAGAGTAGATTTACATCAGGATTTGATAGTCTTTAGCTTCCTCCTCTGTCCGTCCAGCTAATTCAATACACATTTAGATGTTTAAATAAGTATCTGTAGTTTTCCCAACAACAACAACAAACAGCACTAATCACTATAAACGGGAGAAACTTGAAAGACGTCACTTCCATTACTTATCGAAGAAGCAGAAAAAGCACTGTTTCAACCACTGGCAAAAGCACGGATGACAATCTCAAAGCTAGAATCAGAAAGGCAAGATACACTTTCACCATTCTGGAACCAGTATTGAAATCTTTTGCACTCCGCATAATAAGCAAGATTCAGATTTTCAACATCTTACTTACTTTACTTCGGCTATCTCCTACGGGAGGATGAGCCGGCTTCATGAACATCTCGAATCATCGCTGCCCAGGCTCGGCGATCTGATGCAAGGTTTTGCGACACGGTTATCCAATTCTTGTTTCACAGACGGAGTCCGTAGACGAGTTGTTTGTAAGAGAGTTCATGAAGTTTCATGGGAATTAGATACGAGTGATGTCCCCAGCATCGCTCGGCCTTTTGTTTGAGAGTGCAGCTCTAGCCTTTACACAACCAAGTGTGACCTACAAGGCAGTAGGAGTGGAGTAGGGAGTCCACTATCCATTGTCAGCCAGCCGGTGACCGGAGTCCGGTTCATACGCCTTTTTGAATGGGGCCAGACATCCAGGGCATCCAATAAGCCCTTTGTCCATACGTCTGCCGGTGAGTTTCATACGCCAGTCGTTGGAATTTTGGAATCAGGGTTTAGCCATCTTCTCTAGACTGTCATCCAATGGACAGTCAACCCGGTGAAGAGCACCGGGCATCCGTTTTCGCCCTCTCACTTCGGTGAAAAACACCTCCGCCACGTGAGGGGAGTGAGTAGGACTTCCTCAAGAGAGGCTATGTAAGACGCCCGGTCATATGGGAGCATTTCAAGAGGTGTGCGGAGGGGTGGCCAACCCGCAGCGCAAGGCACCCACTCCCGACCATACTGAGGCTTTGGAGGCAACATCAATGTCATGTCACCTGCATATGGGTCAGAAACTTGGCCGGTGGGTCGCGAAAATCATTTCCAACAGGCTACAACAGAGTTTTATCAACAGCGCTGATGTCGTTGGCTCCATATTGAAGATCAAATGGCCAGAGAGGGAGACAGAGAGAGAATTAGAAACAAGAAACTCTGAGGACAAACTAACCAAGAACCTATTACTTAACAAATACACCGATGGAAATGGAAATGGGTTGGGCACACTCTGAGGAGACCGTCAAAATGATATCGTTCGCCAGGCTATCACTCTAGTGGAATCTGAATAAAAGACGACAGGTGGGGGATGACTTCGACAGTGACTTGGAGAAGATCGTGAGAGGTTATGGGGAATCGCAAAACTCAGCTAAAGAGGACAGAGGAATATAGAACAAAGTTGAGATGTGTTGTTGAAGCCCTATGTTCCACTCGAACCCAAAGGAACTATAGTAATAATATAGCTCTCTCAAAATGTTCTTAATACTTTAGTCTTCAGCATCGATGTCAGATAAAACTGTGCACGCTAAACTAAGGATGATATTACTTTAAAGCTTGTCTAGGCAACAATCCTAAGATGATTACGAATGCAATCCTTCAGTGGTCAAGTGCTCCAATCAAGAAAAAGAAAACTGTCAAATCGGAAGACGATAGCAAGCCATTTGGAGAGAAGCCAGCAGGTCACAACAACAGCTAAAACACTACACGTAAGAATGACTGATTAATTAACACTGTCGAAATGACGATGGTTAGTTAACTTTCGTATGACACTGGAACAATAAATACCGTTGAAAGGAAGAAAACACAAATTTTTAAGTCAGTGTTAACACGCTGACGAACACAAAGGGAATACAAAGTGAATAGTCTCAAATATTGAAAAGGAAATCCATCCTAGAGAAATTTTCTCAACTTACCATTCCGGATAACAGTCATTATCGATATTTATTTGTGAATTCATAGGTACATCAATTGCTATAGGTGAAAGACGTGTACTACCCTGAGGTTGAGGCGACTGAGCATACCTCCAAGGTTGAATACTAGATAGCCATGTTTCAAGGACTACTTCAAAGCTTAAATCCAAAGGCCAGTGTTGAAAACAAGATATCATAAATTGTAAAAATTCATTCATTAGATTAGCACTTAATGGGTGTAATTCAGATGAAATTATCATGCCTTGAGAAGCGCGGAGATATCTAAAAAACAAAAAAAGCAATAATGATAAACAGGAAGTGATAATGACAGTTTTTTTTCAGTCTAATCACAATATACAGTTTTTGTTCAGCGAAGAAATTTCTTTTCAACGACTTCATTTTCAAGCTGTACAGTCGTATTTATATTACAGAAAAAGGTTATTAAGTGGTACTAAATAATTGCTCAGTCAATGTACGTATATATGTGATAAAAGTTATAAGGGGTAGAGTTGAAGTGGATAAATTACAAAAATATTAAAGATTGTTTTATAACAAAAATGTCAAGTGATGTCTAAAAATTTTGAAAATTAGGAGTACGATTACGATAAGAATGAAGATGTGAAGTGAAGTGGAAAGAATTCAAGTGGCAAAATAAAATAAAAACTAGAAAGAACATTATTATGACCAAGGTAAAGAAAGGGGTTTGACAAAACGCTTTTGAACACATAATTTAGGTTTCTCTTCATGTATACCTAAAGCTTCGGCTATGCATAAGTGAAGAAACCGTAAACTTTTGGATCGATTCGATTTTGCCATGTAGATAACTTTGAAAGATAAATCACGTGGGGCTAAATGACCAGACTCTAACAGGTGATCACAAATAGACGACTTTGCAGTTCTACGTTCGCCTTTCATTAACCAAACCGGATAGTGTTCAGCTACACGTTTTCGGAGATTACGCTTACAACGTCCAATATAATCAGCTCCACAAGAGTAGGTAAAAGAGTAAATGCACATAGATGTGGACAAAAACGGTAATCTATCCTTGACGCATTGTCTAATCATATTTCGGCTGGTAAAAACTAGTTGCAGATCAGCTGCAGGAAAAGTGCGTTTAACACATTCAGATAAACGATTTTTAATCAATTCTGAATGCAAGACTCATAAACAGCTTTTTCTTTGGTACTGTGACTTGTCTCGGGGCGGATTCTTTCTTGATATTACGTTCAATGAACCTTGTGGGATAACCATTGTTAAGGAGATTTGATCGAAGGTTATCTAGTTCCCTATCGATTGTCTCTGCAGAGCAGATTTTACGAATTCTGGAGCATAAGGAATGAATAAGATTTCTCTTTCTCCCTAAAGGTACCCAACTGTTGAAGTTAGTGTACTGCCCAGTGAATGTTGGCTTTCGGTAAATCGACCTTAACAGCGTTCCATTCTCTCTTCTATCTAGCTTAACATCAAGGAAGTGGAACGAAGAATCCGACTCTTCTTCGATCGTGAAACGCAAAGATGGGTGAGAACCATTAAACATTCTAAGAAGTTCGGCAGTTGAAGAGTTTTCATCACATACAATGAAGGTATCATCAACATATCCTTTATACATAAACAGACTATCGATGGTTTCCTTTAGTGGGCCATTATCTAAGCTTGCCATGAAAACGTCCGCTAAGAGTGGTCCTAAAGGAGACCCCATGGCGACTCCATCCCTTTGATTGTAGATGGCATCATTAAATCTAAATTGCACATTCAGTGTGCATCTCAATAGTAGTGGTTTAAGATAATCAGTTGGTAAGCCAATGTTCATGCTATTTGAATCAATATACTCGCATAGATAGCAGATAGTGTCTACTAGTGGTACATTTGTGAACAATCACAATATACTCAATGACACTAAATCATAGAAGTTAAACAGTCACTAAAAACCGGTAAGGAGTAATAGACAGGCATTCTATCTTACTTTCGAACTATTCAGTAGTATGCCCTTATGAGATACCACTATGAATTGAACCCAGGACCTTCAGGTTATGAAACCAGCATATTAATATTCACCTGCTGGGTCGGAATTCACTGGTCCATAAATTCCAACTTCTAAAAACTTCCTGGTGACCGGCCAAACACTCTAGTTGGTGGCCTCCACTGGTCATAACTTCTCTAAAAACAGAACACCATACACACACTGCCTTCTGCAGTCAGTCACTTATGATGAGTTTTTAAGCCTCAGTTTGCAGGGATCTGATTGAGTGCTAGCAGTAGTTAGATCACGCATTATAATCATACCAAATTAGGACAAAACAGCTGTCAGTTCGTGATCCAACTTGAAATCGATCATATCTCTACACACTAACACTTGAAAATAAGTCATAAAATGCAAATATACTAGCTAAATATTAGTTATGCATTCTACTAACTTGATTAAAATTAAAAGGCAGAATGAAGTAAGGTCTAGAAGACTTATTCAAGTTGATAGAAAAGACTTCAAAATCACTCAAAGTTCGGCATACCTTGAGTGGTTTAACTTCAATCTGTCTGTCTGTCTGTTTTCGACATAGAACTTTGCACAAATGTGCGGAAGTTCAAGTCGCCACATTCCGTGTAGCACGCGAAGCAAGAGAAGAAAGTACAAGAAAAGCATAATAGAAACAGTGAGCAGAGGTGTGAGACAAAGGAGTAATAAAGAAATACAAAACAGTTTCATTGAAGATCATAAGTCACAGGGAGTGGATGCATCTGCGCCACTGAGAACGATTTTGAGCCATGTCACCAATTGTTTCCAACCATAGATTTTTACCGTCCCGAGGACCCCAGCCTGGAAGTCTACACCTTCCTACGTGGCTTAGACCAACTGTTGTGGATTTCATTGACTGATGCCAAGTTTTTGTTTGACCGCCGCTAGCTTTTTTCCAGCCTGACCCTATATCCGCTAACATTGCTCGTCGAGGGAGGCGATGGCTTGGCATACGTAACACATGTCCTAACCATCTCAGTCTTTGTAGCTTCACGACTTCGTCGATTGATTTCCCCTGTTTACCTAGAACTCTACGCCTAACCTCCATGTTGCTCACCTTATTATGCCACTTTACACGGGAAATAGAACGCAGGCACCTATGATCAAAGACAGCTAGTCTTTTCATGTCTTCCACTCTCAGTGGCCAGGTCTCACAACCATAAAGGAGGACGGAGCGGACTGATGAGCAGTACACCCGCCCTTTGGTCGATAGTCGAACATCTCGTCTACGCCAGAGTCGGCGTAAACTAACAAATGCGAAACGAGCCCCTTGTATTCGTGCTGAGATTTCGTCAGAGATCAGCCCGTTGGGGCTGATGGTACTTCCCAAATAAGTGAAGCGGTCAACGTGCTCTACCACTTCACTTCCTATTTTTAAACTAGGCGTCGATGTAGTCCAGTCCTGTAACATCATCTTGCATTTGGCGGGAGCGAATCGCATGCCAAACATTCGTAGATTGCGGCTCAAGGTGTTTAGAAGACTCTGCATTTCGTCAGCGTCTTCGCCTAGAAGGACTATATCGTCTGCATATTCCAAGTCAACGAGATTATTCCCGGTAGCAAGTCAATCCCTGAGTCGCTGAAGTCACCTAGGGTTAAGTCCATTAACACATCTATGATGAAGTTGAATAGAAAAGGAGATAATGGGCATCCTTGACGGACACCACTGGTCGTCATCAGTTCAGATGACAGCTCGCCGTAAGCCCTCACCTGGCTGTATGAGTACGAGTAGAGTGCCTTAATCAGTGCAATATATTTTCTTGGAATTCCCTTTACAGCCAAGCATCTCCAGAGAACTTCCCGATCGACAGAGTCGAATGCTGCCTTTAGGTCAAGAAATATAATGACTGTTGGACGCCGGTAGGAATGCCTATGTTCTAGAATCTGTCGGAGGGTGAAGATATGATCAATACACCCTCTTCCTGGTCTAAAGCCTGCCTGGCTCTCTCGTGTTTGTGCTTCCCGAGCACCACTCAGTCTACGCATGATTATTGAGCCTAAGACTTTAGATACTATATTAGTCAAGCTAATCCCTCTGTGATTATCACAGGAAGACTTGTCTCCCTTCTTGTATATGGGGATAATCAGTGACTTACACCAACCCGATGGGACTTCTTCTGATTCCCAGACGCTGCCTAGTACCTCAGTTAATCCGGACAGTAAGCTGTCTCCACCGTACTTAAATACCTCTGGAGTCATTCCATCAGGTCCCGCTGCTTTGCCTAGTTTCAGATTGGTGACAGCTTTAGTAACCTCAGTTAGTGACGGAGGACCTGTATCTATATCCCATTCAGGGAGGTGTTGGATGCTCGGAAGGTTGAGCGTGGCTGTGGGCAAATTAAACTGCTCCTCATAATGCTCTTTCCAACGATCCAGTCGTCTATCCTGGGAGCTAATTATAGTGCCATTTTTTTCCGAGATTGTCTCACTGATGATTTGTCTTCTCCCACCCGTTTCCCTGATGAGTCCAAAGAGTTGCCTGGTGTTGCCTATCCTCGAAGCTTTCTCCATCTCTTTGGCTTTTGTCGCCCACCACTGTTCACGGTCCTTGCGGAGACTTTTCGTAAGTTTCCTCTTGTGCAGCTTTCGCTCCTCATTGAATTCGGAGCTCGCCGGAATAAGTCTTCTAGCATCTATCAGTTCGGATGAGGCGGTGGAGATCCAGTGGTTTTTACTCACCTTTGGGTTTACCTTATTCACAGCTTTTACAGCTGTATCTATGGCTGCCTGGATATTTTTCCAAGCTTCTTCAGGGTGAGCACAGCTGTCGAACACAGATATGTGTTTAGCTAGTTCTTCCTCAAATACGGATTTAGTTTCCTGATCGAGCTGGGGACGTGATGGTTTTACCGCCAGCTGTTTCCTACGTCCGTTCAGTCGTAAGCACACCCGAGCGCGGACCAGTGCATGGTCGGTATCTACGCACGTGTTCCAGAAGGAGCGACAATCTCCTACCGACCCACGCCAACGATAGCTTATTGCTATGTGGTCTATTTGTGTCCAGCGTTGGTTTGATGAAGGGGGTCTCCAAGTCAAACAGTGTCTCTCCTTGTGTTTGAAGTTAGTGCTTACAAGAAACAAATGATTATCAGAGCAGAACTGTAGGAGACGGTCACCGTTGTCGGTTCGCTGGCACGGAGCTCCATAGGTGCCACCGACATCCTTCTCAGATTGACACAATTTCCCTACTTGAGCGTTAAAGTCACCAGCTAGAACGACTATGTCTGAGCGTTTAGCCTTTCCACCAAACTAGACAGCTTTTGGTAGAACTCATCCTTCGTTTCATCTGAACTGCAGTCAGTGGGGGCGTAGGCGGAGATTACGAAAAGGCATCGGCGAGTAGTGCAGTCCTTCCTCCTTCTTACTGATCCGTTCAGGCGGACAGCACACATTCGGCTATCTACCGGGATCCAGTCAAGCAATGTCTTTTCTGCCCTAGTACTCAAAGCTATCCCTACGCCAGCTAATCCTCGTGAACTAGCTGTGGCATCTCCTGACACCCTCAGGGTGAATTTTGCATTTAACTTCAATACCTAGACTTCTAAACTAGAGTATAAGATATACGTTTATAATCCAAGACTGTAATTATAAGACTACAGTATTCTATTTTGAAATAATACGGAAGATTTTTAGCTTCGGTGGATGGATGGATGGATGTTCTGCTGCCGTTGTTGTGTTCACTGGTGCAGACATGATATCTGGAGGACTGTCGACCTAGGGACGTGTGTACTGCTCAGCACTTCGCTCCGTCCTCCTTAATGGTTGGCTGGCTGTGAGACATCGCCATCCAAAGTGGAAGATATAATGAGGCTAGCTAGCTGTCTTTGATCATAGGTGTCTGCGTCCTATCTCCCGTGTTAAGTGGTGGTATTATAAGGTGAGCGATATTGAGGTTAGGCTTCGGTCGAGTGCTAGGTGCGGGGGATGAATCAATCGACGAGGTGGTTGTGAAGTTACACCGATTGATTGAGATGGTTAGGAGACATGTGTTGCTACTCATGCATCTCTAGCCATCGATCGCCTTCCTCGACAACGAGCAATGTTAGCCGACTGACATAGGATGGATCAGGTTGGAAAAGAGCTGTCACTTGGTGGTCAAACCAAAACATGGCTTCATCAGTCAATGAAATCCTTAACAGTTTGTTTAGGCCGGCCACGTCGGGAGGTATAGACTGGTAGTCTGTTTGGGGTCCACGGAATGGTAAAAACCAATGAAGGCTGGAAACAATTGGTCATATGATACAAAGTCCACGTTGTCAATGACTGGTGAAGATGCACTCACTCTTTGTGATTTATGATATCCGATAAAACTCAGTTGTTCTTCCATATTACTATTCCTTTTGGCTCTTTTGAATCTCCCTTTTCTCTTCCATTGCTTTGTGTGCTATATGGAGAGATTGGTAACTAGAACTGTTGCACATCTGTGAGAAGTTCTACATTGAAACCAGTCAGTCAGTATTGTGTTCACGGAAGATTGGGTGGTTTAATTTTGAAGCTTTGATCATTGTCCTTCTGGAAGACATCTTGATAAATACTACATCCCCAGTATACGCTATGTAGCTAATAATGTTTTCTTTTCACTAGAATGGGTTATTATCACCTGGTTTTTCAGCATGAGTTCTACTGTGATGGTTATAATGAAGAGCGAGAAATTCTGAGATCTTGGCAACAACAACTATGATATCTTTTTTATTTTTATTTATTTTAATTAGAGCTTGATGCCACACTGTATTTTCAGTAAAAGTATGGAATTTTCAGCATGTGATATCGGTACCCCAAATTTTGCAGGCCGACCATAGATATCGAGTGTGTGTCGGCAGGGGATCAAACCTCGAACCATGTGCATGGTCGGCGAGAGTCCTAACCACTGTGCCACCGACGTAACCTTTAGACGGAAAAGTAATTTACCTAATTGATAGAGATATAATGCCTTAAGTATGTTGCTATTTAGTTGAAGGTAGTAGTAACTAGCAGTTGAATGCAGGATGGGTACTTCTTCCCGTTGGAGAATTGTCATCTGGATGTTCCCTGAGTCCCCAGTGACCGATTGTGTTTCTATTAAAAGTTGAACCCGGAACCCATCCTGAATTCCACTGCCAGTCACCATCAATCAAATAAATTAATTCTCTCAACTGAATGTAAAGCAATGAAACCATGTTTTAATAGACTAAATTGCATTCTCTTGACTAGCAACATCAAAAAACCCAAATGTGATGAGTTCCATTGCTAGGGTGATATTTGTACTCAAAACAAGAAACGATACTATAATTATTTACAATGTGAATTTAAAAAAACTAGTTAAAGCAGTGCTTTCTCTATGCGTATTTTGTACCAAACTTGTTTGTAATTAATCATTTAATGTTGATTTCACTAGACTAGCTAACTAATTTGTTTGCACTACGAATGGCAATAAGCAGTATAGAATGGCTAGTTTATATATATATATATATTGACTGCCATGATTAACTTATTTGTGAGTTATCGGGCTGTTAAGTCTTGATTGAATGTTTCCTCATCTTCGAGATAGTGGTAGAATGACTGTTTATCGATTGCTACCATGTTGCGGTGTGGGAAATCATCAAGAGTTTTTTGTGTGTTAAATCGTCTAATTTCGTCCTGATATAGCTTTATATATTTGCTTAGATTAACGCTTATAAGTTCAACCAACCACGATATTCATCAATTTCTAACTGGTATTGTAGATGATTCAAAAGGGATTAAAAGACCTGCTAGGTGTACTAACAGCATCTCCAAAGACAATTCAACATACTTCAACACCTACAATCTGTATTATAGATGTATTGTGTCTTCAAACCGCTAAACTTGAAGAAATGAAAACTGTTATCAAATTCTTTTTCCACCTTTCTAGGCATAACCAAGGATATGCTACCTGGAGATAGACTTTTCGACCTCGAGTATGCAGACGATATTGTCTTACTGTGCGATATCATGCAGGCTGCCCAAATCGCACTTAATCAGTTGGCGATGTGTGCCAGTAAGTATAGTATGTGCTTTGCACCGTCTAAGTGCAAAGCGCTGTTAAAAGATTGTTAGGAGCCTGTGCCTGCACTGACTCTTGGATGTCATCTGGAAACACCGGCTCCGGTGGCTTGGACATGTTCCGTGAATGTTATCCCAGAGTCTTGAGTACAGGTCTCTGTTCGGTAGCCCTGGGAAGGGATGGAAAAGGTGGAGGGGTGGTCAGTCCATGACGTGGAGTCGTGGGATGAAGGATTTTCGTGCTAGATTATCATCGGTTGGTGCGTCACGACTCCCTGATTGGGGTCCGCGAGATAGCTCGAATCGATGGCTCGAAACGTTTTCGGATATGGCCAAGAATCATAATGAATGGCGAACGTGTTGCAATTTCCTTCTTTCTTCTCTTCCAGATGATAGTTAACGAATACTGTTTGAACTTGTTAAGCATGACTGTTTTCCTTCCAGATGTTCTTTATCTGTTCTCTACTTATATTTTTACTTTTAATCTATGTTGTTTTATTATTGCTGTGTGGCGCATCTTTCTTGGTGCCATATCGTACCAAGTTTTTTCTGCGTTTAAATAAATAAATAATAGGCATAACCATTGTAAGAAGGTCAGTAAAATTCTTCCACTTCTTTCTCGGTGGAATATTAAATCGGTAGTTCTATATAGTCCATAGACTTGGCACTTCATCAAAGCATATCCAACAGGCCATTGTAGACTTTTATCAACAACTGTTTTCGTTGGCTCGATAATAGAGATCAGATGGCGGCCGGTCAGAAGGAACTCCAACAACAAACTAATTATTTAGGAACTTATCATTCAACAAATACACTCTATAAAATAGAGGTGGACTGGACACACACGATGGAGGCGATATTTGAGCGACATTACACGTTCCACATCCTCGAGGAGAACATGAGCGGGAAAAGACAGGTAAGTAGGATGCCGGAGTGCGGCATAGACGATATCGTACAAGCAGGAGGCAATGAAAGCTTATGGTCACCAGTGGAGCAAGCTAAAAAAGAAAACAAAAGACGACTGCTACGAAGAGCGCGAAATGGAGGTATGCTGCTAGAGCCCTAATGTACCCCCACCCAAAAAGTAATAATAACAAAAAAAGGGAAAAAAAGACATAAACTTACTTTCGATAGTGAAGAATTTTATTCCATATTATTTGTTGTTGTGGTATCTGGAAATGACTTGGACTTGTATTGTTGAATAAAGCAAAGTAGAAATTTTTGAGAAAGGATCGTATTAAAAATACCTGACATACAGTTGGTTTATTGGAAAGCTGATGAAAATGAAAATAGGGAAGGAGGGAAAGAGTCTGTGAGAACTTTCACTACATGTAATTCAAGTGTGAACAAAATTTAGTATACTGGTATGATTAGTACAACATGTAAAACGCGAGTAGATTACACACAAAGCAAGCACATATATACAGAATCAACCAATCAAAATATATAGTAGATTGGAACTCAAGGTTTAATATGAGGTATAATAATGAAAGATAAAAATATTCCCAAACAATTGGTTAGTTGAGTATGAATCAAGGAAAGGAAAAGAAGTACAACATTTATAGATAGGCTTGTCATCATCACAGTCAAATAATGCATACCGATGAAACACATAATCGATAGTAATCATGGGAATGAATGACAAATGTGAAGAGGTTTTAAAAAAAATATGTTAACATTTACTTGCTAGTCAATGAACTAACCTATATATATATATATATATATATATATATATATATATATATATATATATATATATATATATATATATATACTGGCTTGGTATAAAAGCCATGTGAAATGTCAGTCATTTTAAGTGAACTCGTAATTATTTGTTGAAACGCACACTTGACACGATATGGAACAATGGAACACAGTATATGGAAAAAGGGCAGAATTACTGATAATCGAATAGATTATCGGGACACACCCAACCGATAGCTGCTACCTTGACGTGGTTGTCGGGCTTGCACATCGCGATGACCCCAACAAGCTACACTGGCTGGAACCAATGTTCCTGCAGGTCCTACCATGCCAGGAAGGTTGTTAGGATAGCGATTAGACTAAAAGCAGTTACCTGCATTGTGTAAGAATTTTCTTACACTTTGCTGGGGGGTCTGAGGGCGAAGTCGTACTTCTGGGGAACAGGGGTGTAACAGCAGTAAGGTGTTTCCCTTAGATGACCAGCATGCCAGCCACTTATGCTGTCCCCAAAAATTGTACATACTGACTTACCCCACCCACGGTGGTCCGTAACCGGCGGTAAGTTTACTAATACGGAACTAATCCCAGAAACCAATTCATACAGGCCATGTGTGACCGGCCTCAAGCTGTCGTCCCCTGGGCTCTGCGGTCACGCAACACTCTTTCTGTTTCAGGTACCCGAAGAATCAATCACCTTCCACGGTGTGGGCAGTCGGGAAGTAACAACCGCCCACACACTTCTGAAAGCACACGATGCCTTCCTTATCGGGACACAGAGATGTAACTAGACCTAGAATGATCAACCCTACTAAGTTACATAATCTAGAAAAAAACAGATGAGCCATTGCAGTGGATTTACTTGCATTTAAGTTGCACAATAGGCTGAAACAAAGTAGAAGTATGAGAAAGTAATGTAATTACGTGCAGAGACAGAAAGAGAGAGGTTAACTACAGGATCTTTGTTCATCGAATCAATACCAAACACAAGCAATCGGAATGACGCAATGCATACACCGGATATATAGAAAATTGCAATAACCAACAACGGAGAGAGGGGAAGCCGCCTGAAAAAATTGGTATGATTATGAACAAGAAATTGTGCTCGAAACGTCATCCAGTTGTTATTATTGCTGTTACTATTTCTATTTACTCTAACACTATTCAAGGGTGCTTATTATCCCCAATGAGATTCCTAATTGCGGTAGACTGGATTATGCGTCAGACAGCGGGAAACGAGAAGACAGGAATATCCTGGACCGACGTGAAGAACCTAGAAAACCTGGATTTCGCGAATGATTTATGTTTGATGTCACACAAAATCGAAGACTTACAAGCGAAAACCGACAAACTGGTCGAAGAAGCAGACGGCGAAGACAGGACTCCAAGTGAATATAGACAAGACGGAGGTTATGAAAATAACCAACCAGCAACAACAACAACAGCAACATCCATCGCCAATCACCATCAACAACGGGAGGAATTTGAAAGATGTTACTTCATTCACTTATCTAGGGAGCATTGTCTCAACTACAGGCATTCGGAACGGACAAGGATATCAAATCGAGAATCGGGAAGGCGAGAAACGCATTCATCAACCTGAAACCAATCTGGAAATCTTCTTCACTCAGCATCAACAACAAAATTCGGTCGGATTTTCAATACAAACAACGTCAAGTCAGTCAGTTCTTCTATACGGATCAGAAACTTGGCGGGTCACAAAGAATATTTCCAACAGCCTGTTGCAGACATTTATCAACAACTGTCTTCGCTCTGTACTGAAGACCAGATGGCCGGACAGAATCACCAACAAGAAACTACTTGAACAAACAAAACAAGAACCAGTCGCCCAGCAAATATGCAGGAGAAAGTGGAGATGCATTGGACACTCGTTGACGAAGCCGGCTGGTGACATCGCGCGTCAGGCCCTCGAGCGGAACCCGAAAGGGAAGAGGCGAGTGGGACATGGAGGAGATCGTGTGAAGAGGAGTTGAAGGAGTATGGACTAACATGGATGCAGGTGAAAAGTACAGCAGAAGACAGAAGCAAGTGGAGACGTGCAGTTGAAGCCCTATGTTCCACTGGGAACCCAAGGGAACAATAATAATAATAATATGATAAATATAACGCTAATCAACTGAAAATGCTTTCATCTGTCAGTCCAATGATAAAGAGTTCATTTATAAAACTGACTCACTGGCAGTTCAAGCTGCTACACTTATAACGCAGTACAGAATGATTGGGAAGAAAAAAATTCAGATGTACGGGAGAAAGAATAGAAAAGTGGAAGAATCATAAGCACTTAATCGATCTGGGAGATAAAAAAGAATAAATACATCTATAGCATCGACAGTGGTTTAGAGCCATTGGTTTTTAGCATCGCTGGGACTCCAAGTAGGCAGTTTACGCTTCCCTAAACGGCTCAAACCTACAGTCAAAGATTTCATGGATTGATGGCGTGTCTTGATTTGATCACCCCTAACTCTCTTTCAACCTAATTTCAAGTCAATTAGCATCGCACGTTGAGAAAGGCAGTGGCTCTGTATGTGTAACACGTGTCCCAGACATCTCAGCTGATGCAGCTTCACAAACTCATGGATCGACTTGCTCTCCTTACATAACATTCTACGCCTAATTTCAACATTACTCACCATATTATGCTATATGGCACGAAAGGTAGAACTCAAATATACATCTTCAGAGATAGCTAGCCCCTTCAGGTCTTTTACTTTCCAGCCCCATGTCTCAATCCTAAAGAAGGGCAGAGAAAACTTCTGCGCAGTACACATGTCCTTGGATCAATAACCGAATATCACGTCTACGCCAGAAATAACACAAGTTGGCAAATGCTACATAAACTCTTCGCATCCTTTCTGAAACGTGCTTTTCGCTTGTCTTTTATGTAAAAAAAATAAACAATCAATCTCAGGATTCAAGTGAAAATAATCAAACTGACCCAAAAGATAAGCGTAGAAATCAGGACAAAAACAAGGTGAGTTTTATAACCGATAAGCAAGAAGGCTAAAAGAAAAATCGTATTTAGCCGCACAGATATGTTCACTCTTCAAGATCACCTAGATCTATCATCTCCACATTATTGCCTGTGTAATTATTCCTTCTCCCATTATTATTATTATTACATCCTTTAATTCCTAGAGGGACATAGGGCTTCAGCTGCGAGTCTCCATTGCCTTCTGTTTTCTGCCAACTTTTTCACCCCGCTCCAAGTCTGTCCATATGCTTTCATCTCCTCCTCACATGACCTCCTCCAAGTCACCTTCACACTGACGACCAACTCGCCGCTTCCCTTTCGGGTTCCACTCGAGCAATAGCTTGTCTAGTGATGTCACTTGATGGTTTCCTTAGTGTATGGCCAATCCATTTCCATTTCTTCCTGCCTATTTGTTTCGCAATCGGTTCCTGGTTGGTTCGCTCATTGCCAGAGATCCCTGTTGCTGATCTTTTCTGGCCATCTGATCTTGATTACTGAGCGAAGACAACTGTTAATGAAGGTCTGAAGATTGTTGGAGATGCTCTTTATGACGCGCCAAATCTCTGATCCGTAAAGTAGCATACATTATTGTTTAATATCATTCTGTGCACCATTTTGAAATTCAAAAACTTGAACCACTTCACTTTAATGCAAAGTTCCACGTTGCAAACTGAGTTCAATCTACTTTGTCCCCGGGATTCCCTCACCAGATATGTACAATTTTACATAAGTTTAAAAATACATATGAAAATGTAACTGCAAAAGAAAGTTTGATCATTTCATGGATAATTCCCATCCAGGCATTAATGAAAACAAAACACTGAGTGTTCAGAGGAGAGTCTCTTTTCGGCGGTGAATTCATTTTCTTAGCTGTACAACCACAAATATACAAATGAGTTATATTGTATGTATGTGTACATTAAGTTTGTCAAACAAAAATAGACAATTGGTTATGGTTATTTTAACTAGACAGGTGAAGATTGTTAATTGGAGTTACGTAATACAAAATCAGTCAGGATGAACAGGATGCACATAGGAATAAAGTAGATAATATGAGTAAAACTCACTCATCAAACTATTAATATTATTACATAACTTCTTTTAACAACTGATTGTGGCACCTCATCATCTTTGTTACTACCCTAATCTCATTAACACCTAATTTTTTGACTGATTTTGTATTACGTAACTCCAATTACTAATCTTCACCTGTCCAGTTAAAATAACCATAACCAATTGTATTTTTGTTTGATAAACTTATTGTACACATACATACAAAATAACCAGATATATATATATATATATTTGCGATTGTACAGCTAAGAAAATGAATTCGCCACCGGAAAGAGACTCTTCGCTGATCTACGTGTTTTGTTTTCATTAAAGTTTGATCAAATTGAAAACATCTACACAGTATTAGGTTGTATGCATCTCATGCGTCGGTGGCACAGCGGTTAGGACTCTCGCCGACCACGTATATGGTCCGGGGTTCGAGCCCCCGCCGACACACACCTGATATCTATGATGGGCCTGCAAAATTTGGGCTACCGATATCACATGCTGAAAATTCTATACTTGTACCAAAAATACAGTGTGGAAGCAAGCTATAATCAAAAAAAGAAACCCAAGGACAAAACGAATCACACCTCTATAGTCTAACGATTGTTCTAATCGCTTTTTTTCAAATATAAGTAGAGAATGAGGGTGAAGTGACAAAGAACTCTGAACAGTTTACCTTTCTACACTAAAGAAAACTGTATTTTGATGAATAAAGGGTGACCAGTCAGGCAAGGCTTTCAGAGAACTATTGATTTTCAGTGTAAGTTCCGAAGAAAGTGCATGCTAATTACCGATAACCCAATGAGACACAAATTAAAACATTAAATTAAACAAATCCAGAGATATACTAAGTGGTTGCAAAAACAAAACAAACACAGGAAGATGAAACCGATGAGAGATAGTGAAATCAAAATGCATGACATAATTATTGATGAATACAAATGATGAATTATAGACGGCAGATGATAGCAGTGCTAAAGCGTGCTTATTATTAATTAATGTTTTTGGTATTATTACCCATACTCACGATTAACCAAAGCTGTAAATGAAGTAATAGAAATGGTTTGGTTCAGCATAATTCAAATGAACTAATATGTAGCAGTAATTTGGCAGTCATGCAGTAAGAACACGTTTGAGAGAACCCCACTAGTTAGTAATTATTAGGAAAGAATTATTTTCAAAGTCGAATACGCAGGATATCAAGAATGAATGATTAGAGACTGTTAATGACATAGCTTAAAGTTGTTTCAAGTGGTCCAAATGAATTTACTTCATGTTATTTCCCAGGTTTTATGAAAAACTTTCCGCTATTCTTTATTCATTTATTTTCCCAGTTGTGCATCTTCATCGATTTTAGTTTCATTACACTTCTTTGCTCGACTTTTCAGATGTACTTCTCTGAAGGAGGATGAATAAACTTATGCACTTTTATGCAAAGTTGAGTTACATATTTGAATAACTAGCAAGTCATAAAACTGAATACTCAATCCGTATACGAAACTTTTTATGTGGTTTTTCTTTTCTAGGCTGGGTGGTTTAACTGTAAAACTCTCGTTGTGCTTTTAGATAACATCATCTTCAGGATAAGCTTTAATATGAAGTGAACTTAGTTGAATTCTCGATAAGTTCTATAATTGTATTTCCCAACAAACTTTGTTATGATTAGTTGTTAATCGGCATAAGTACTGGTCATTTTAATCAACTTGGACTTTGACATTTTTGTCACGTGGCTTATGCTTTAGTATTATTGTTCTCTTGGGGTTTCAAGTGAAACACACAGCTTCATTAGCATATCTGCATTTTGTCCTCTTTGGGTGTTCCCACGACTGCCCACAGTCTCTCATCTTCTCCTCTCATGGCCTCTTCCATGCCACCCTCAGACGCCCTACTAGTCGTTTCCCATTGGGATCCCCCTACAGCGAACGATGTCACTTGACGGCCTCCTCCCACCCCATCTCCATTTCCATCGGTATATTCATTGAGTAGTAGGTTCTTGGTTGGTTCGTTCCCAGAGCTTCTTATTGATAATTCTTTTTGGCCCGCCATCTGATCTTCAGTATGAAGTCAGAGATGGCAGCTGTCGATAAAAGTTTGTAACTCGTTGGAAATCTTTTCCATGACGCACCGGCCAAGTTTCTGACCCATATAGAAGGGACTTAACATCGGTGTTGAAAAGACGAATTTTTTTGGTTGTGCTGAGCGCAGATTTCCAAACTAATTTCAGAATGAAGAAGGTCTGTCTCGTCTTTGCAATTCTGTTTCTGACATCCTTATCCGTGCTTCCCATAGTTCAAACGATACTTCCTAGATATGTGATGGAAGTGACCTCTTTCAAATTTATTCTGTTGATAGTCATTGGTACTTGCTGTTGTTGGTTGGTTACTCCCATCACCACCACTAGGCTTGTAGTTGATATTATTATTATTACGGTTGATAAATTTGATTTATGGTGTACGTTACTCACTGATTCTTTTCAGTACTGGCCTTCTAGGAATTCTCTGGCATTTTTAGTGTTTCCATTGCCTAAAATTTATTCATTCTCCCAGTCAAACTGATGTCCATATTCGTCCACATGAATAGATATGAAAGAATACGTATCGTGTTTCTTCACATCCAGTTTATATTCTTGGGTTCGGAGTTGACAGTGTTGCGTCAACCAACCCACAAAATAAACACATATTATGCGTAATGAAGGATATCTTAAGCAACTCAGGAATTGACGAGTACTGGCCAAGTAGGATCCAGTCTTAACTTGCAAGGATGTAAGTCATCACAGAGCAATATCACAGAAATAAACAGTGAAATAAGATGATATATACGAAGAAAGAACAGATAAAAGTTAATGAGTAATAGTCAACTTCAATAATATTGAAACTATCTACATCATAACGACTGATTCCGACATGAATGACTGACTGGTTTCAATGTAGAACATCGCACAGATGTGCAACAGATCGAGTTGCCACACTCCATCCATGTAGCACACAAAGAAAGAGAAAACAGTAAAGGAAGAGAAATAATAAACAGAAATATGACGCAAAACGAATAGTAATATGGAAGAACAACTGAGTTTTATCGGATATCATAAATCACAAAGAGTGAGTGCATCTTCACCAGTCATTGACAACGTGGACTTTGTATCATATGACCAATTGTTTCCAGCCTTCATTGGTTTTTACCATTCCGTGGACCCCAAACAGACTACCAGTCTATACCTCCCGACGTGGCCGGCCTAAACAAACTGTTAAGGATTTCATTGACTGATGAAGCCATGTTTTGGTTTGACCACCAAGTGACAGCTCTTTTCCAACCTGATCCATCCTATGTCAGTCGGCTAACATTGCTCGTTGTCGAGGAAGGCGATCGATGGCTAGAGATGCATGAGTAGCAACACATGTCTCCTAACCATCTCAATCAATCGGTGTAACTTCACAACCACCTCGTCGATTGATTCATCCCCCGCACCTAGCACTCGACCGAAGCCTAACCTCAATATCGCTCACCTTATAATACCACCACTTAACACGGGAGATAGGACGCAGACACCTATGATCAAAGACAGCTAGCTAGCCTCATTATATCTTCCACTTTGGATGGCGATGTCTCACAGCCAGCCAACCATTAAGGAGGACGGAGCGAAGTGCTGAGCAGTACACACGTCCTTAGGTCGACAGTCCTCCAGATATCACGTCTACACCAGAGATGGCGTAAATTGGCATGTGCCGAACGAGATTTCTGTATCAATGAGGAGAATTTGTCAGCGACTAGACCGTTGGGGCAGATACATGATTCGGATATAAATGCGCAAGTCTCTAACTACCGTTTTTTCAGCATTCTGGAGATTTGAGACAACAGTGACGCATTTCAGATACAAAAACAAAGGATATCTTAACTTTATGTACCAGAGTATCATGAATTTGTCACAACTTCCCGCACAAGAAAGTTAATGGAAAGTTAAAAGAGCACGTTGACCACTTCACTTATTTGGGAAGTACCATCAGCCCCAACGGACTGATCTCTGACGAAATCTCAGCACGAATACAAGGGGCTCGTTTCGCATTTGTTAGTTTACGCCGTCTGGCGTAGACGAGATGTACGACTATCGACCAAAGGGCGGGTGTACTGCTCATCAGTCCGCTCCGTCCTCCTTTATGGTTGTGAGACCTGGCCACTGAGAGTGGAAGACATGAAAAGACTAGCTGTCTTTGATCATAGGTGCCTGCGCTCTATTTCCCGTGTAAAGTGGCATAATAAGGTGAGCAACATGGAGGTTAGGCGTCGAGTTCTAGGTAAACATGGGAAATCAATCGACGAAGTCGTGAAGCTACAAAGACTGAGATGGTTAGGACATGTGTTACGTATGCCAAGCCATCGCCTCCCTCGACGAGCTATGTTAGCGGATATAGGGTCAGGCTGGAAAAAAGCTAGCGGCGGTCAAACAAAAACTTGGCACCAGTCAATGAAATCCACAACAGTTGGTCTAAGCCACGTAGAAAGGTGTAGACTTCCAGGCTGGGGTCCTCGGGACGGTAAAAATCTATGGTTGGAAACAATTGGTGACATGGCTCAAAATCGTTCTCAGTGGCGCAGATGCATCCACTCCCTGTGACTTATGATCTTCAATGAAACTGTTTTGTATTTCTTTATTACTCCTTTGTCTCACACCTCTGCTCACTGTTTCTATTATGCTTTTCTTGTACTTTCTTCTCTTGCTTCGCGTGCTACACGGAATGTGGCGACTTGAACTTCCGCACATTTGTGCAAAGTTCTATGTCGAAAACAGACAGACAGACAGACAATGGACATAACACATATCTTAACCCCGAACATAAATTCAAATTTCAAATAAACTTGCTTTCAACAAAAACTGTCGCTTCACAGTCCCCAACAGTCAATTACATGTAACTCAGAAATATCTTTCAGTTTCAATAATCACTTTCTAAGTGTCTAGATCAATTTAATTGAATTCTAGATCAATGTGAATGAAGATATAGAAATACAAGTAAGGGCTTCAGAGCATATTCCAAAATGGCTCCAGAAACAAATGGAATCATCAGAACCTATTAACGGTGAGAAAAGGAGACCTAGCTCTTCTATTGCGAAACATTATGGAGACAGGACATAAAATTGATGTTAACAGATCTTTTAAACCTATCTATAAAACGTGTTTGGGGCGTATCCTAAAGTTTGTAGAAGCCCTAGCAATTACAAAGTTCAAGCCACCTTTATGCGTCCAAAAACAATTTATCATCACATTAAACCTTCCTTGGTAAATTTTGTTGTGATACCATAGCAGATGTACTATTACCTCTGCTATTTGGTTTAGTGGTCTTCATTGTTATTTTGACCTTGAATATGTCCTTTTAACTTGACCTAAGTCTATTTTTCTCACCTCTTACCTCTTTATTAATTCCATATATATTCCTATGACAAGTCCGTGTGTGATCAGATTGTTCGAAATGTGTTGCGCAAATACCTTACACGATTCAGACAAATTACGTCTTCTTATTGCTTTATCTAGAAATACAATGGTTCTAATTTTTGATGCACTAATTTCTCGACGCCACTAAACTGATTAGGTCTCTACATTTGAAAACCCGTTACCATCACTTTGTTACCAGGTAATGAAGTAAAAAATCGACTTTTCATAATACTCGACAGTAAACAATCTTCCATTTCATGTTTATAGATAAGAAACCTGAATGATACCTGTTGACAAAAGTAAACATAAACTCCGAATTGCGGTTGTGATACACTACGGAATAATTACGAATATAATGTGATGTGAGAAAAGAGTGACAAAACGAAGTGCTTAATACTTGCGAAAATGTCATGGATAGAAAACAACTCACCTCTGCATGATTTTGAGGGGCAGACAAAGTCATTGTACCAGCAGAGCCTACGGATAATCCTTTGGAAAGGTCCGATGCTTGCCAAGAGAGAAGAAACTCACAAATAGCCTGCAAATTATAAAAAGGAAGTACACCCTACTTGCAGCATTGTGTCCGTTTGCCAAAATAAACGGAAGTCTGAAATATGAGATTCCATTGATTCATTCGCAAAGTGAGAGGCAGATTCATTGAAATAACTCCTATAATTTAATTTAACACAGAAAATTTTCTACCTTTGATATGCAGGCGATTGTGGGCCAGCCCTCAAGAGCTGCAATCTAGATACCATAACATTTACTGTTACGGGATCAGTATACAAATAGAAACTAATGTAGTCACTGAACAGGGTGAAATACAGGCTGTTTTCCAAATCACATAATAAAATATTCTTGAGAAGCTAGTCAAAAATCTCAGTAATTACCTGCTTCCATTTTGGGTATGAGGTATAACACATGAAGGAGAACATATAATAGCAGAAAGCGTCTAAACCTCAATATAACAATCAAGATGACTCACTCAGAGTAATATGCATTTGCGATAATTTACCCTCAACCGAGCGAATAAAATTCTGTGAACTTGCCTGGAACGAATTTTACATATGTACATAAAACATTGCATACCGATAATAACCATAGTGGAAAGTCGTATTTGCATACTGGGAATTCCGAAGATAGTTTACTCGATAAGACCTCAAGAAATCTTCCGTTAGGGGAAAGAAACTCGCGAATACAACCAAACAGGTGTGGGTCATCAGATTCTTTTAACGTATGTAGACCCCAGCCTTCTGTACCATCAGAATATCCAAATATATTATCCACGATAGGAACAAGAAATGCATGAATATCCTAAGCCAATAATCACATCCAAAGGAGAGAAACCTGTGCATTTCCCCTGGAGACGAAGATGTTCAGCTCTTTCAGCCTTTCACTTAGTGGTAGAGATAAGCAGACAGTACTTCGCATTTAACAGAAACTAACATCAGCTAGGGACAGCGATAAATTAAATCGGCTGTAGGTCACCCAAGTAACGCAGTCTCTAAAGTATCCAATATCCAATATCGTTTTTACGAGCTAGTGTAAACCAATTTGATTTCTTTGTGCTCGCTTCTTGATTGTAAGGTATAGGTTCCTGATCTACGGTAAACTTCTGAGTAGCTTGTCTCGCCACTCGACTGTCGTAGCTTTGGTTGACTCCAAAGGGAGTAGTGCTGGGATTAATTATATGTGGTTTGTAGTATGAGGTATGTTAAGACTGTTACTACTGTGATTGGAGTTGATCCTTTCGCCAGTTAGTCCTTTGGTATCGTCGAGGAGAGAAAACAGATAGTAATAATAATAATAGATATAATTAGTGAAATTATTCAGACTAAGAGACGGAGACGGAAATAGCAAAGCGTAAGAACAGTCAGCTCATTAGGTTTGAAGAATAATATATAAAGATATGATAGAGAAGATTTGTAGCTCAGGTGGATAATTTTGATGTGGTTTTGCTCTCTGGGCTGGATGGTTAGTTTGCGAAGCTTTCATCGCCCTACTGGGTGACATCTTCAGCGCATACTTCAATTTGAAGTGAGCTTTTAGGTTTCTCCACGAGTTTATTAATCATTCCTCCTGGTGACCTTGGACGTGATTGGTTGTTTATGTGTGTTTTCACACCTTCTAGGTTACTTGTGTTGGAACTGATTGTTTCTGTGACTTGAACTTTGACCCTTTGTGTGTGAAGTTTCTTTCTTATTGGTTGATAAATTTTGTCTATCTCGATGTGTCTATTGATTGATGATTCACTGGAATGCCAAGCTTCCAAAAATTCTCTAGCATTCTTGTTATTTCCTTTGTCTAATATATGAACGTTGTCCCAGTCGAATTGATGTCCGTGGTTGTCTGTGTGTAGTGAAATGAGGGAGTGGATATCATGTCTTTTAACGGCTAGCTTATGATCGTGGATACGAAGACGAAGGGGACGTCCACTTTGGCCAATGTAGTGTTTTTCACAGTTGTTACAGTTTATTTTTTAGATGATGTTGGTTTTGTCTCCTTTTGCTGTTGAGTCTTTTGCTTGACATAGAATTGAGTGCAGCGACTTTGTTGGTTTGTGTACGACGTCAATTCCAAAAGACCCAAAAGCAAAAAAAGACAAAACCAACATCATCTAAAAAATAAACTGTAACAACTGTGAAAAACACTACATTGGCCAAAGTGGACGTCCCCTTCGTCTTCGTATCCACGAACATAAGCTAGCCGTTAAAAGACATGATATCCACTCCCTCATTTCACTACACACAGACAACCACGGACATCAATTCGACTGGGACAACGTTCATATATCAGACAAAGGAAATAACAAGAATGCTAGAGAATTTTTGGAAGCTTGGCATTCCAGTGAATCATCAATCAATAGACACATCGAGATAGACAAAATTTATCAACCAATAAGAAAGAAACTTCACACACAAAGGGTCAAAGTTCAAGTCACAGAAACAATCAGTTCCAACACAAGTAACCTAGAAGGTGTGAAAACACACATAAACAACCAATCACGTCCAAGGTCACCAGGAGGAATGATTAATAAACTCGTGGAGAAACCTAAAAGCTCACTTCAAATTGAAGTATGCGCTGAAGATGTCACCCAGTAGGGCGATGAAAGCTTCGCAAACTAACCATCCAGCCCAGAGAGCAAACCCACATCAGAATAATATATATATATATATATATCGGTAATAATAATAACAATAATAGTAATAGTAATTATAATAATAATAAGTTGTCAGGAGAGTAAGACGGGAGAGAATGTAAAGAAGTAAAACGACGAGTTTAATTGTCTTCCCTGATTGGTATATGCGATTTTAAGGAGATAGGGCATTTGGATGCAGTCCTTGTATCGCTGCATGGTTGTCCAGCCTTCGCTTAAAGGCGTCCAAAGACGGTGCCATAGCTACATCTGCCGGTAAGGAATTCCAGGGACGACAAACCCGCAGTGAAAAAGTAGGAGCGCACCCGGGTCCTTGCCCTCTGGTGAGCTATCCTTCTGGGATTTCCACGTGGAAGCCTATACCTACTCAATGGCAGAACACCTTTGTTTGGGTGATTCTGGTCATTTGTTATTTTGTAGGCAGTAATCAAATCCCCCCTAAGCCGACGGTAACTAAGTGTGAACAGGCCTAATTTCTTCAGCCTTTCATCATATGGTTTGTTTCGGAGACCAACCACTCCTTTTGTTGCCCGTCGTTGGACTCTTTCCAAGAGGTTGGCGTCTCTTCTCAGCATTGGGGGTGCAATAATATTATGCACCTCAAGGTTTGGCCTGACGTATGTTTTGTACAACATTAGAAAGAGCTCAGGAGTGAGTGCACCTAACTGTCTATGCGTAAAGTGTATGACCGCATATGCCCTCGCTACATCCCCTGTGTAATTTACGCTTGTGTCCATTTTTTCCGTTAGAACTAGACCTAAGTCGCGTTCCGACGTTGTGCAGGACAAGCTTTCATTGCACAGGGTGTAACTTGCATTCTGCAGTCTACAGGTGCGCAACTTCACTACTTTGCACTTTTTCAAGTTGAAAGTCATGCCACTGGCCACCGCCCAGTCTTCCAGAAGGTTTAGGTCTTCCTGTAGCCTATCTGAGTCCTCCGGACACTTTATCGCCCTCCATATTTTTACGTCGTCAGCGTACAGGAGAGTCGGGCAGCTCAGACGGCGTGGTAGATCATTGATGAAAATCAAAAACATCAGTGGTCCTAGGATAGAACCCTGCGACACTCCTGATGACGATCTGTGCCAAGATGATCGGACTCGGTTAACCTTAGTGCAAAATTGCCTGTCGGCTAGGTAGTCCTTCAACCATGACAGAAGTGGCTCACCTATGCCTGCCTGGCTTATTTTATGTAGGAGAAGGTCATGGTGAACAGTGTCAAATGCCTTCTCAAAGTCTAGGAAGACCACATGGACTGGTACGTTCAAGTCCCAGCATGATGTCCAGTCGTCCCAAGCTGACAGTAGGTTAGTGACGCAGGATCTGCCTTTTCTGAAACCATGTTGGGCTTCATGTAGTATATTAGTCCTATCGAAATATTCCCTGATGTGGTCGTCAATAATACTTTCCAGTACTTTTGATACCACTGGGAGTAGAGCTACTGGTCTATAGCTAGCAGCGTTTTGCCTGTCCCCACCCTTGAAGATTGGAGAAAGGATGGCTCTTTTCCACTCCCTTGGCAGGGTCCCCGAATCCATTGAGTGTTGGAACAAGTCGCACAGGGGTCTACAGAGAGCCTCGGCGCACTGTTTCAGAACAGATGGCCTGATGTCATCACAACCTGGGGACTTCCCAGGTATGAGTCGCTGTAGCTTCCTTAGTACTATTGCGGGGTTTATTTGGGGAGTAGTCGCTAGGTCTTCCTCCTTTGAAATAGTGGTGCCACCATTTTGGTCCGTAACTGTAATATCCACATTGCTGTTTAGCTGTTTAGCGAAGGCTGAACTGAATGTTTCAGCCATCTCCAGACTAGTGAGATATTGACCGTTTGCGCCTACTAAGGCGCATGCCCCTTGGTTTGTCGGTTTTCTTTCCGACATGAATCGGTACAAGTTTTTGGGGTTTGATAGGAGTTTTTTAGCAAGGTTAGCCTGGAATGACCTCCTGTCCCTCCTGACTCTTGCATTACACCGGTTCCTGAGTTCGAGGTATGCATCATGGTCGGTCTGACTCTTAGATACACGCCACGTAAACCAAGCCCTCCGCTTTGCTTGCAGAATACGTTGCGTGCCTCTCTTCAACCATGACGTCTTTCTCTTGGGCTGTGTTGTGACTAAAGGGACGGTATCCGAGATCGCTATATGGATAATCTTTTTTACCACTTCCCAGTGTTCATCCACAGATAGGTCGTCCCATGCTAAGGGCCAGTCTGCGTCGGACAAGAGCCTCCGCATTTCAGCATAGTCAGCCTTGCTGTAACACAGACATGGTCGCGTAAAATCCCATTGCAAACGCTCACGGAGGACAAGATCGAAACCTATGACTGCATGGTCACCACTTCCCAGAGGAGTCATGATCTGGACCTTTTCGACGAGTAGCTGGTCACTAGTTAGAATATAATCTAGTTTTGATGACTTTCCACTAGGGCCCCACCTAGTGTCGTCTCCAACATTCTCAGTCAGTCCCGTGTTCCGAATAGTTTGCAGTAGGTTTCGGCCAAATTTTCCCTTAGCACACACGGAGCCGAGGTCCAGTGATGGAGCATTGAAATCTCCAGCTATGGTGATTTGGTCGTAGCCCAAATCTCGTATTCCTGTGATAGTGCTGAGCAGTAGCTGATTGTGCTCTGCCCCACGGGTGGGAGATCGGTAGATGCCACCCAGTAAGTGCTTGGTGTGGCCTACGGTGAAATGACACCATATGGAGTCTGGGAGTTCAATAAGTGGTGGGTCCGCTGCGCGCACACATTTAATTTGCCTATCAAAGTATATAGCAACTCCCCCTCCTTCCTTATTATCCCTGTCTCTCCTGACCAGAACTATATCACCTATACTGATTTCATTGTCGGCGATAAAAAAAAAATAAATAAAAAGTGGGGTTTAGCCACGTTTCAGTAAGAATGATTATTTCCAGTTGAATGTGTGCTTGGAGATTTCTAAGTTCACCTACTTTTCCTCTCAGCCCTCTCACATTGCTATATAGGCAACTGTCAGTGAGTCTAACAACCTCAGAGTGTTGTGGGGTAGTTGACGTGAAACCGTCTGCTGGTGGGGGACTTGATGTTGGAACTAGTTGGCCGATTCCGATAGAACCGGCTCAGTTTTATGTGTTGGGAGTAGAAGGACAGACAACTACGTCAATTTTTCTGACGGGTATCTGGTTCTGTGTAATGTCTTTCCGGACAAGTCGAATGAGAGCTCAGGTATCCCTTCTTTTGGGAGTAGTTTCCTAGAGCGACATGTGAAAAAATTGATGGTATTTCAGTCACATGTTGAAGATTTGGAAGTATAGGTTCTAAGGTAAGGGACTACAGTTATGATCTCTGAAAGCGTAGTA